CTGGTGTCTAATTATGATGACTAAGCTCGAGATCCTTAGGAATGCTAGGAGAGCAAAAACAGCTTGTTTCATTCAAGCGATTTGTTTTAAGTGAAAAGGTTTATTCTTGGACTACCTCATAGTACATATAAGCTTCGACTATCTTCTTCCTTGTATAAGAAGCTAAGCAGTTCAGCAATGATTTTGCAATTGTATATGAAATGATTTTCTACGAGTTGGTTAAACAAACGGCTAATCCAATAATTTTTTTTGTTTCTAAATCCTTATAGTATTTCGTAATAGATAAAAAATAGCGCAAAGCCAAAAATCCCATGTGAAGCTTTTTCCCCAAAATTGGATCTAACCTCGATCAATTCGATAGTATCTTCGTCGACAGCGTCAGCAAATTGCAACGCCAGGTACGACCAGCTGCAAAGGATGTCCAGTCGATCCAGTTCGAACGGCTTCCACAGTTGAACCGCTGCTGACCATAGATAGCTGCAATCGTTTCAATCAATCATAGTACACATCTCACATTCCCCAGCTGGAGATCTTCCCCAAAGGAAAACCTGAAACGTACTCGAAACTTTTCTTGACCCTTCGCCATGTGTCCGCTCTCGACTGTGCATGATTCGGTCGCCGAGGCATACGTTCTTGCACGCGAGAAATCTGCAAAAAATATTCGGGAATCTCCCCAGTTAGTCTGCAATTGCACCGGAAATCCTATAGTAGGAATAAACCCAGAGATGGTGATATCTCGTACCATATGGTAAGCATAGTAGATGCTCAACTGTGAACTGGACACGACACGAGCATCCTTCATGCGCGGCGGACGTTCGAGGGCGTCAATCCATTCCCAGCATACCTAATTTTTTTGAATTTATTAATCTGAGAGAAAAATACACATGCCATCTATAGCAATTGACCACTTAAATTTTGACCAAAATATTAAGAACAAAAAAATTTGAATAAGTCCACGAGTGGGTTTCCGACATTGAGAACAAATTGACAATGAATTAAACTTAGTACAAAAAAGATCTACAATGTCTCAAGAAACATCCAAAACTAATGAAAAATTATAAGAATGCACAAAACGACACCTTCGAACCCTACAATGATTTTTTTTATTCAGAAAAATACTGTAATTTTCGGAGTGGTACATTTTTCCAACCTCAATCACACTTTCATCGTAATGTGATGTATTGAGAATGCAGGCATAGACATGGTCCATCAGTTCCAGATCTTCGACACCGAATGCATAATCTGTGGCTACAGCGCATCGAACTACTGATACAGCTCTGAAAAAAAAACACTAAAACATCATTGTGTGTGTGGGAGGGGGGCATACAGCGGGTTTTTCGAGCATGTTTTGTTATATCGCTCAAAGTTTTGTCATAATCTTAGAAAACCGCAGTCTTGTACTAATTACGGCACTTGATTTTAGGGCTAATCAAGACAATGAAGAAAAAGGCAATATATCATTAGCTACTCTAGTGCTGTTTGATTATATATGAGGTTCTTTTTGCATAATAAAGGATGTCCCAAAAAGGGAACAGTGTTTGATCGTAAATAACTCTCTCGCTCTCATGTCTTTCGCCAAGCTTGAGGTACTATTCTATAGAGTTAGGTCAACTCAGATCTGCGGTATGGAGCGGATCATTAATCACTCTTCATTACTGTAGGATTACGGTACAAACTAACTTTCAGCGCACAGCGCCGCTGTGGAATAGGCCTTTTGACGGAAAGAATTCCAAAAAATCCAGAAATTTGTGCGACATAAT